CAAAGCCAGAGGGCCACCAAAAGGGATGGCAGCCTGGCGGACCTGATGCATCTGACTTGTGATGATGAGAGGCGGAGGCGGCGGCAGCAGCAGCAGCAGCAAGTGAGCCTCAAGAAAATTTAAAAGCATCTTTTGGTGACGCAACGCATCGCATCAAAAGGCTATTGGCAAGGGGCGTTGTCAAAGCTAGTGCGCATAAAAGCGGAACCATTCTCACCGCATGTAAGTCGAGGCAGCTATACTCCAAGCAAGAATATGTGAGGCTTGATTTTCCCCGTCCCAATGCGAACTTGGAATTTGCAAAAGCTTTTCCTCACAGTTCAGGTAAACGCAGAGAATAACAAGTGTGCAGAATACCATATATATTCCTCTCTTTCAGGATCATAATGAAAGAATTCATAATGCACATGCATTCTGTAACAGCGTGCTTCTAGGTGCAACACATTGAAAGCCACGTTTTTTTTAAACGGGGTGATGTTTTCTGCTGTCTTGGGGCTTTTTCGAAAGTTCTGCAGTTTTCGGTTGTAGCGGTTTGCCAGAGGTTGCCAATTGTCTGAAGTGTAGGGTTTCCTGCCTAAGCAGAGGATTGGACTAGAAGACCTCCAAGGTCCCTTCCAACTCTCTTCTGTTCTGCTCTACTCTACTGTAACTTTACAAAGAGGTATATATTACTTTTGCTGGAATAGAAGCTCACAAGTAACCAAGAAGCCCCTTCTCCGAGGGTCGCCTTTGCAAGTTTACAACAGCTTCGGTTTACGTACGCACGCGCAGACGGGAGCCAATAGCGTCCCCAGTTCCGCTGCGCAAAGCAAGGCAAGGAAGGCGGCGTTGGGGACAACCGACCATGCTGGGGGGCGGGGCCTCGCTGCCAGGTTTGGATGAGAAGGCAAATGGGCTTGGTCGGGGAGTGAGCGGCGGGTGTTGCTTGGACTGGAGCGAGCGGCCGTTGCCCGGCGAGACCCCTCCACTCCTCGATCTCCCGGCTCCCATTCCCCGGCGCGGCCGCGGATGAAGATGGAGCCCTAGCAGCTGGGACCATGTCGGAAGCGACTCGGAGCCTTCTGCAGCGCTGGGGCGCCAGCTTCAGAAAAGGGACCGACTTCGACTCCTGGGGGCAGCTGGTGGAGGCGATCGACGAGTATCAGATGTGAGTGGGGACGGGCGGGCGGAGGCAGCTTCAAAGGGTCGGGCTGGTTGAAGAGGGGAGCTGCTGAAGGCGAAGGCGGGAGTGGTGGCGGGGGAAGAGCCCCTGGGTGGGGCGAGAAGTTGGGGTTCAGGCACCCGTGGGGCTGGGTGCGGGTGGCGGGTCTGGGCGGAGCCCCGAAGGGGTGACCTGGAGGGCAGGCAGGCGCTACAAAGCCTCTGGGTGGGGCGAAGGGCAGCTGCAGGCGGCCGAGGGCGAAGGGCTGCTTCAGAAAGACTGCAAAGGGGAGAAGTGGGTTGTGCGAGGGTCCCTCTGGTCGTAAATACTTCGCATTGGAAGGCTTTTGTCTGGCGCGAAAGGGTCTGTGGACGAAGGGAAGAGGGGGCTATGCGTCGAGGCTACAGAATTGGGGAAGGGTCGCTTCCATTGCTGCCCCGCGTCTGCGTCTGAATACAAGATGCAGAAGGGAGGATGCTGAGGCTCTTGCTGTCGATCTGCATCTATTGCTGCTTTGAAATGTAATGCTTTTTTTTAAAAAAATTAAAACATAAATGCCAACAAAATGATTCTGGTAATGTTATTATGATGCTTCTCCAGGCTCTGAACGGTTGGGTTTTTTTAGGTTGGGCAGCTTTGGGATATCTGACGGAAGTTTCGGCCTTGAAAGCCACCTGTTGTTTCTCGATCATTAATCTGAACTTTGGGATTCTTTCAGGGTCATCTCTAGCACTACCAGATGTATAATGTTAGTACAAATGGGGGGAAAAAAGAGATTCTGTGGATTAATTGCTTCTGTTTCTGTGATTTAAAATTGGGTATTTGGCGGCTTCAGTCCAATTCCTAACAAGTCATAATAAACCTAGGTTTCCATATAGTATTTGGCTAATTTTTATTGAACTGCCACATGAAAATATTTTGTAACATTAACAGCTTGTTAGGAAGCAATTAATCTATTGTCTGGTGTTGCTTTTGAAAACTCTCATGGTTTCAGAAACCTCATGGTTAGGGAAGGAATTTAGCTGAGAGAAAGAACTTGGCTCTTGGGGGGAAATTAATATTTCTTTGGCTTCTGACCATTATATATCATATTGAGTAGTTGATATCCATTAACTCTTTTGCTTTCAGAGTATGCAAATTTGTTTTATTTATTTCCAACACAAAAGTGTTCTCCCTAAATGGCAGTTAAGGAACACTTGCATACTATTTTTTGCTTGCTGAAACTACTCCAAGACCTCCAAGACTAACATATGTTATGCTACAACTTCATGATACTTACTTCTGACTACAGCTTAGTGAGTGCTCTTATAGCCCTGTTGGCTCAGAATTGTAAAATTATATTGCACATGTCTAATAAAAGACCAGACATTTATATTTAACTTTTTATAGATTAAAAATAACCTGAGCAAATAGGAAACAAAAAAAAATATTTGTTGCTTTAATTAAAGTAGAAAATTAAGCTGGGAGGGAGGATATTGAACGTGTAAATGTTTATAGCATTGCCCTTGCCCATCCAGTTGGAATGTGCAACATTGTGTGAAATCTTGATCTATAATTGTATGCATTTCTAAGAGCTTTACTGGATCAAGGGCCATAGTTATGAAAATCTTTGAAAGGCTTGTGCTGTCCCACCTGAAAACCATCACGGATCCTCTGTTAGATCCCATGCAGTTTGCATACTGAGCAAATAGATCGACAGGTGATGTTGTTAACATGGCTCTGCATTACATCCTACAACACCTTGAATCTCTAAATACCTATGCAAAGGTCCTCTTTGTAGACTTCAGCATTCAATACCATCATTCCAGACACTCTTCCAAGTAAATTAAACCAACTAGCGGTACCTGAACACACTTGTAAGTGGATCATAAGCTTCCTAACAGACAGGAAGCAGCATTTGAAGCTAGACAGAATCACATCCGATTCCTGCACAATCAGCACAGGGAGCCCCCAAGGCTGTGTGCTATCTCCTCTTCTCCCTATATACCAATGACTGCATCTCAAACAATCCACCTATTAAAATATTGAAGTTTGCTGATGACACAACAGTGATTGGTCTCATTCGAGACAACGATGAATCTGCATACAGACAGGTTATACAACTTGCCTTGTGGTGTAACCGGAACAATCTAAAACTGAACACACTCAAAACCATAGAAATGGTGGTAGACTTTAGAAGAAACCCTCCTATACTACCACCTCTTACAATACTAGACAACACAGTATCAACAGTAGAGACTTTCAAATTTCTAGGTTCTACTATATCACATGGCCTAAAATGGACATCTAACATCAAAAACATCAAAAAAGCACAACAAAGAATGTTCTTTCTGCGCCAACTCAGAAAGCTCAAACTGCCCAAGGAGCTGCTGATACAGTTCTATAGAGGAATTATTGAGTCTGTCATCTGTACCTCTCTAACGGGTTTGGTTCTGCAACCCAACAGGACAGACATAGACTTCAGAGGATAATTAGGAATGCAGAAAAAACAGGCCTTATTTTTTTTTCGAGCCCCGAAAAAACGGCTAGGACATCTTTTCGGGGGTGAATTAATTTCTTCCCCCCGCGCACCAGCACTGTCTCCAACAACAGCATCTGAGTGACTCCCGCTTTTCCCCCATCCCCGTAACAACAGGAAAAAAAAGATTTTGAGGTACCAGGAAGCGCTGCGTGGTGCATTTTGGTTTAATCCAGAGTGGCTGGGTGGGTGTGAGAAGAGCCGAGCGAGCGTCTCTGCTGCTGCTACCCTTGGTGCTCCAGCCTCAGGCTCTGCAAGTTTGCAAAAGTCCCGGTGCAGCCTGTTCCTGCATTCCAAGCGCCCAGGCCGAGCTGCAGCTGTCCCTCTCTTGCCAGCACCATCTCCAATAACAGCAGCAGCAGTGGCGGGAACCGTGGAGGTTATGGAGGCGGCTCCCCCACCCGAGAAGCGGCTGAAAGGCTTCCAGGGTTCCTGCTGCTGCTGCCACTGTTATTGGAGACGGCGCTGGCGAGAGAGGGACAGCTGCAGCTCGGCCTGGGTGCTTGGAATGCAGGAACGGGCTGCGCACTGGGACTTTTGCAAATTTGCAGAGCCCGAGGCTGGAGCACCAAGGGTAGCATAACTCGGCCTAAATTTGGGAGGAGGGGCTTAATTTCATTTTATGCCTAGAAAACATGCTGGGTCTTCCTATGGGGGGCGTATTGTTGGAGAAACACAGTAGTTTGTATATAAAAACAGAAGGAACATAACACAGGTAGTCCTCAACATACAATTGTAATCAAGCCCAAAATTTTTGTTGCTGAGACATTTGTTAAGTGAATTTTATCCCATTTTATGACCTTTCCTGCCAAATTTGTTAAGTGAATCACTGCAGTTAAATTAGTAACATGGTTGTAAAATGAATCTGATTTCCCCATTGACTTTGCTCAGAATATTGAAAAAGGTGATCACATGACACTACAGTCATACCTATGAGTCAGTTGCCAAGCAGCTAAATTTTGATCATGTGACACTATGGGGATGCCGCAATGGTCATGAGTACGAGGAATGGTCATAAGTCACTTTTTTCAATGTAACTTTTTTCAGTGTAACTTTGAAAGTCACTAAATGAACTATTGTAAGTCGATGACTACCAGTACCAGTTAGCACATTAGTGACAATATAAGATTTCTGTGATGATAGATAAATGCATTTAATATCATATTTAATGTAGATTTAAAATGAAAATGTCATGGTAAAGTTAGGTGATTTTTTTTTTTTTTGCAAAACTGCAAATTATGCATAATTCCCAGACATTCTTGTAGTTGTAATGAATGAGCCAGTATCATTTAACTGTTTTTTCCCCTTACATCTCAGCATTTTCTTTAGTGAGAAAAAGAAACTGGTCCAAACAGCAAAAGTAACAATTATCATTATTATTAAAGGTTGTGCTTTTAGGAAGCCTAGTTTTTCATGCTAGGATCCTCAACAGTGATTCCCCATTAGTAACTTAAATGTGAGCATAAGACCATTTTCCTCTGAAATTCATGCAGAAATATTTTCAAAGCTAGTTTTAGTTGATATGAGTATACACATTGGTGAAAGAGAAGTGAAATTTGAAGTACTGTAGTAACACTAGCCATTTCCAAGAAATACTGCGTAGTGCAATCATGTGGGCAAGATTTGGAGTTTAAGCTAGGTTCAAGTTGTACTTTTGCAGTTTGATTCATTGTATGGCCTTACACAAATTGCCATCGTTTAGCATCAATTTTCCATCTTAAAAAGATTAGTGATTTGCCTCAAGGTTTGCTAACAAAGTGGAATGTTGGTAAGAAGGGAGACTTTTTTAGTTGGAAAAGTTTATAATGTTTTTTGGAAAAGTGATGAAAAAAAGGATGACAGTGCTTCAGATTTGGTTCCATAATCTATTGGGAATGTTTATGGAGTATGAATGCAGCATCTTCCTGTAGTTCTTTAAAGAAGGTGAATCATTTACTGTGACCATGTAGCAAATGCAGAAGATAACTATACAACCTAGATGAAAGATATGCCTGCTATAAAGTGTTGCAGACTGGCATTATGCTCATACCCTAAGCACATTTTTTGAATTGTTTCCAAATTTCTGTATAATTGACTTATGCTTAAAATATATATTTAACATCTTTGTATTAACTTTTCCCTTAAAATTATGACTGCAAGATTCTATGATAAAACATTACAACTCTTGAATATTGTCAGTCTACATACAATTCAAACCCTTCTCTATTAGGCTAGAGAGTTTCCTCTATAAGAAAGTTGAAAATAGTTTCTGAAAAAAGATAATCTTTCGTTTCTATACATAAAAGCTTTTTTCATGACAGTTTATGGAGAAAAAATCAAATGATTAAGAACTCATTTGGATGAATTGTTTTTTACCTGTATTATGCAGCTATTAGGAACTAAAAGATATCTGTATCTTGGCTGCCATAGCTTGCTGTTTAAGTTTTTAAACTTTTTGCTATAACTGTAAATAATATGCAAATAAAAATAAGGCAATTTTATATTATATAGCATTGCATTTTATACTTTTATAGGATAGTTTTTCTAACTACTCAAATGGATTCTGTTGAAATTAATAGGGTTACTTGCTTAGTGGGCATTACACTGCCATTTTGGAATTGGTAAAAGAATATATGTGGATATCCACTTCTCTGTGGAAATTTCTCTATTAAAATGTATTATGAAGGAGGAATTTTTTTTCTCCCAAAATATTACATTTTCTCCAATTGTTCATTTTAATGGTCAAAATTAAGTGATCTCTAACTACCATTGTTACTTTAAAGATGGTGTTTGGAATCCTGTGTGCCTCTTCTTGAAGTTAAGAGAGAAATTGAGATGTACACTTCCATGGAAAAATAGAAGCCACTGGATCCATCCTTATTGGTTTCAATCCTTTAGTCCAGCTGCAAATGTAAACCTTTATATAGATAACTCTTATGTTTGCCTATTCCTTATTTTGCCAACGTCCTTAAACTTATTAAGATTTTATATTCATACTGCATTTTCTGTGTTATCATTGAGGACGAAAGTATTTCTTACTAAAAATCTATTTTTTGAAAAAAAAGTGTTTTTGTTTCTAAGTTTATCTGAAAAAAAGTATGAGATTGTTATCTCTATTTCTAGTACTGTCTACTAATAGAGGTGTTGAATAGAATTCATTTCCACAAGTAGTTTTCCTCTTTTAGTATTGGTACATTGTTGGTACATTGAAAGCATATTCTGTCCTTTGTCATTTATTGTAAGCTGCCTAGAGTGATGTTAGGCAGCAGACAATTATTTGTTATAATTGTAAAGTATATCATCATCTTGACCTATTTATTTAGTATTTATTTTACTGCACATGAAGTTTAGAAAGAATATTACGATAAAATTTAGGAATTTCCTGTGGTCAACATTAAATACTGTAACAGTAGTTTTTCAAATCTCTGTCTTTAGAGAAGTTTTTATTTATCAGCTTTTCTGTTATGCCATCCATTTGTGTTTTAAAGGAGTATAGAAGATGGAAGACAATAATGTCATTTGGCCAAAACATCATATGCTTTAATATGGTTCTGCATGTATGAAATTCATGTTGATACATTTCAGTAATGGTGGATGGCTGTCTTTCATGAAAGATTGCCTTTTATTGCTGTTCTGTTCAACAGTCATAAGTTTTTTAAGGAGCCAGGAATACACGTAGAAAATCATTACCTTTGGGATGTAACTGTTGGGGGTCTCATTACTGCAAGGGTCTTCAAACTTGACAAGTTTAAGACTTGTGGACTTCAACTCCCAGAATTCCTGAGCTAACAAGACTGGAGGAGAAATTCTGGGAGTTGAAGTCTACAAGTCTTAAAGCTGTCAACTTGCATTACTGGGTGTTAAAGTCATTGAACATACAAACAAGTGAATATTTATCTGTGGTTATTGTTTGTGTATGTATAAGGTCAAGTCAGTTTGATTCCTGTTGACTTCCTGGATTAGTTGTTGCAGTTTTTGTGGAAAGATTTTTCAGAGGTAGCTCGCTTTTGCCTACTCCCTAGCAATGAGAGAGTGACGAGACCAAACTTATGCTGCTGATTTTGTGCCTCGTGATCATCTGGTTTCTAGTCTGGTATCTTAACCACTACAGCAAAGTGGTTCTTTGTGGTTAGCTAATGGATATCAATCTTTGTTTTTTCTAGTTTAGAAGCTTATTCCAGGAGGCGAGAAAATAGAGATTCCTTCAGTGATGCATCAAACAAATAGGGAATAGGGAAATAAAGTGGTTAAATATATGATGAAAAAGGGAAAGTGCCTTAAAAACCCACAGAATAGATTGAATTCTTGCTTGTATATTTCTTGAAAAAAGCCCAAAGCTCTAGATTACCTTAAGATGTTTATGCCAAATGTGTATTTAAAAGCAAGTTCTGTTGAAATGAATGCACTGCTTCACTATTTGCACTAAGGATCAGCTGAAAAGCCAAATATAAAAGGATACATGATGTATGTTGGTCTTACATGGGTCTCCAAAGGAAAAATAATTTCAACTGATCTATCAGTTTTTATGCAGCAAATATATTTTTATATATTAAACATTATTAAGCTTCAGATGAGGGAATGAGGTTATGTTTTAGTGTTTCGATGAATCTCAAACAACCCAATCTGTGCATGTTAAAAATTAGGTTTGAAAGATCACATCTAGTCATGTCATTGGTTGCTTCATATTCCTGTTACCCAGTAGTATTTCAGATATCAAAATAAAATTGTAAATCTCTCAGTTTGGAAGAGGGGGAGATTTTTGGATAATGCAACTTGTTGATATTGGGAGTAAATGACTTGGAATCTCTAGAAGTATAGATGTTTGTTTTCTTGTCCAGTTGTATTTCTGACATCTCTGTATAAAGCCATCTAGGATCAGCATTGCCTGTTACATGAAAGAATACTGTAAACAAATTACAAACAGTATTATTTATTCACTTTTGTAACAATATCACATATATCATTTTAACAAATCAGAATTGCATAGATTTGGAGAAGCAGTTTAAAGATAAACTAATGAAAGCATTATGGTTGCTTTGATCATCTGTCTGTACTTTAATGCAGAAAATTTTCCTTTTTAAATGTATCGGATGGATTTAAATTTATAGAAGATGTGCTGCTACCTGATACAGATTTACAAAGATAGTTGATGCTATAAACATGCTGGTGTTTTTGTTTTTTGCTCATTTTGCTTGTTTTTTGCAGTTGGAAAAGATGTGGAAAATTTGGATTGCCATAGCTGCAGTAGTTTATTTACTTTTATTTTGGAGTGAGCGCAAAGGGGCAAGGTCACCAGGGCAGAATCTCCCTCATAGTCAATATGAATGAATATGCTCCATTCTCCATGCATAAAAAAAGGATTATTTGATCACTAAAGATTAAAAGTCTTCTAGAAAATAGATAAGTTGGTTTATATATCTTCTTTATTTTATAGGCTTCTTGGGATCAGAAGACACATTCTGCCTATAATTTGCTTAATATACTATTCAATTTATATCTCATAATTTTATATGAATTTGTTTCCTTTACCTCTCTCCAGATTAGCAAGACATCTACAGAAAGAGGCAGTATCTCAACCCAACAATTCAGAATTCACAGAAGATCAAAAGGTACATAATGTTGTATGTTGGTGTAAGTTAATTTCATGGTAAATCTATTTTTAGAAGGAATTAATTTGTTTCTTGCAGTCATTGATATAATTTGCTTTTCTCGGCTATGGTTTACAAGTGCTGGGCTTGTGTCGTACTTACCTGTATACATAGTTAAATGAAATGTGAATATGTGAAAAAAGAAATTATAATGCAGACAAGTGTATTATGAAACACTTGTTCTATAGCAATATGTAATTTTAATTATAGATAGATAGATGAAGAACTCATCAAATTTGCAGATAACACCAAGCTAGCAGGAATAGCCAATACTCTGGAAGATAGGCTTAAGATACAGAAGGATCTGGACAGACTTGAACATTGGGCTCTATCTAACAAAATGAAATTCAGTGATGAAAGAAGTAAGGTTCTACATTTAGGCAAGAAAAACAAAATGCACAGGTACAGTATATGTGGTACCTTGCTCAATAGTGGTGACTGTGAGAGGGATCTTTGAATCCTATGGACAATCACTTAAATATGAGCCAGCAGTGTCCTACAGCTGCCAAAAAAAGCCAAGACAGTTCTTGGCTGCACTAATAGAGGGATAGAATCAAGATCACGTGAAGTTTTAATACTGCTTTATAATGCCTTGGTAAGGCCACACTTGGAATACTGCATCCAGTTTTGGTTGCCACAATGTAAAAAAAGATGTTGAGACTCTAGAAAGAGTACAGAGAAGGCAACAAAGATGATTAGGGGACTGGAGGCTAAAACATATAAAGAACTGTTGTTAGAACTGGATACGCCTAGTCTTATGAAAAGAAGGAATAGGGGTGACATGATAGCAGTGTTCCAATATCTCAGAGGCTGCCACAAAGAGGAGAAAGTCAAGCTATTCTTCAAAGCACCTGAAGGCAGGACAAGAAGCAATGAGTGGAAACTAATCAAAGAGAGAAGCAACTTAGAACTAAAGAGAAATTTCCTGACAGTTAGAACAATTAATTAGTGGAACAACTTGTCTTCAGAAGTTGTAAATACTCCAACACTGGAAGTTTTTAAGAAGAGATTGAATAACCATTTGTCTGAAGTGGTGTAGGGTTTCCTGCCTAAGCAGGGGATTGGGCTAGAAGACCTCTAAGGTCCCTTCCCAACTCTATTATTCTACTCTACTCTACTCTACTCTACTCTACCTCTACTCTACTCTACTCTAACTTTACAAAGAGGTATATATCACTTTTGCTGGATTATTATACTTTTTAAAGAAGAGAAATTTGGTTTCTTGTCCTGAAAGCTGAAAGCCAAGTATTTCAGAGGACAGGTTGCCAGAAACACATTGCTTCTTCTCCACAGGTTTCTTCCATCAAGAATTCTAAAGCCCAGCCTTTTTCTCAGAAAGCAGAATGAATAGCATAGCAAGACGTGGCAATCTGTGCATGAAAGAAAGATGCTCTTATGTTAGGCTGTTAGGGAATAAAGAAACAGTTAAAATGCTGCCTCTTCGATTGTGGTTGAGTTTTGCCATTAGTGTCTCTGATTATTATTAAATATTACTGGTGGTGGGATTTTATTCACGTTGTTAGGCCTATTCTTTGTCCTATGAACTACTGCTCCACCCAGATCTAAACTTCTTAATTTGGAGGCTTTTGAGAACATTTTTGAATGGGAAGCTGCAACTGGATTTTTTTTTTCCTGTCTTCCCCCTCCCCCCTCCCCAACTTCTTGGTAACATGGATGGAAAGGGCCTTTTACTTATTCTCAGGCTTTGTTGGATTTCTGCCATAAAGTAATGAATCCTTCGTGTAAAAAGTATATGATGAGATATGGGAAGATGATTTCCCTACCTTGCCAAAGCATATCTTACAAAGACATGGATTTATTCTTTTTTTAGGGGAGATGGGAGTTGTTTTACAGGATAGTTGAATGCAACAGCTCTTGTGTTAATGTTGAGATGTAATCTCTGATGTATATGTTTGGCTGACCAGGAAATTCTCCTTATTCTTTAGAATAGCAAAACTTATGGCATTTGGATGAAATAAGTATGGTTCTTTCTTTTCTTTTCTTTTCTTTTCTTTTCTTTTCTTTTCTTTTCTTTTCTTT